GCCAGTGCTCTGGCTGTTTTCTAATCCTCTGAGATAACCAAGTATTCTGAATGGTGTTTGCTAAGACACCTCAAATGCAGGTGGTTGGCACCCCTAAACTCCCTCCACGCAGCAGTTTGGATACCCAAAATTGTAGTCAGAAAGTTTGCAATAGTTCAGAGGAAAAGGTCCCTGCTAGAGCCTGAAAAGGCAGAGGTATAGGGGCTCTGCCTCTGACAAAGAAATCACCTGTCACGTGCTTTATAATGCTGGCAGAAAAGAACTCACAGGACTCTTAGCAGGAGTGAGACAGGAAGGACACGATGTCCCACGTCATCATGGCTTCTTAGACCTTCTCTGCCAACACCCAGCAGTGGAGGATGAGTTGTCAGTGTCCTTAAATTCCCCCGAGGAGACAGCTTTAACTCTCTTCTCTTATTTCTTTTCACTTCTCTTTTCTTCTCCTGGGCCTTGTAGGCCAAGCACCGAGCAAATGTGCAACATATAATCATTGACCCCATTTTACAGATGAGAACACTCGGGCTCTGAGAGGTCAACTGACTTGCTCAGGGTCTCCCAGCTAATCAGTGGTAAGGCAGGGTTGGAACCCAGGCCTGTCAGTCTCCAGCTACTCTGCTCACTCCTCACCTCAATGACTGTCCTTGAGAGGCACATGTATTTTCTGTTGCTTAGTAAGAGGTGGCATTTTCCAGCCCATATTCTGTGCTATTTCGTATAACCATGCTTTCTTTGTATTCTGCCAAATGCCAGGTCCTCCTGCTTGGGCCTTCTGCTCTTTCCATGTGTCCACAGCCTAATTTTCTCAAGGGGCCAGGATTCTCAAAAAGTAAATCTACCCTTGCCTACAGAGCCAACCTCTGACTGGAAAACCAGCCCTCGTGCTACTGGCCCCCACCATTTCTGCTGAAAAGCCCTGATTTCCACCCCTCTCATTTAACTAACTGAGGCCCAGAAAGGAAAAGGGACGTTTCTCTCGCTGTCATTGATCATGTGAAGAGCTACAGCTTAGTCCTGAACTTCAGGCTCCAGGCTGAGCGGTGGTGCTGCCTTTCTTCCTACTTCCCTCCCCCTGCCCCCTCCCTGCCTCTTCTCCTCTCTTGGCTTCACTCCTGCACTCTATTCTTCCCCATTTCTCTCTCCCACTTTCTTGCTCTGCTCATCTTTATCCCCAACTTCCATTCCCCTTCTCCCTCTTTTTTTCCTTTCCCTTCTCCCTAGACTTTTTGGCCCTCTTCCATGTTCTCCATTAGCCAAGGCTGCCTCCCCATATTGCTTTTCCATTTGTCCCCTCTGCCACCAGCCTTTACCTGCCAGCAGCTGTGAAGGAGTGCCCACCATGGAAAAGGCTAAGAACCAGCCACTGCGCAGGGCCTTCTAGAATCTTCTTGGGGAACCAAGAATCATGCTCCCCTCCTAGCACCGACCTGTCTGAGAAGTAGTGTCTTGGCATTCCTGAACATTCCTTAGATATTTCAGGTGAAAGAGAGCCTTAGCCCTGAAACTCTGCACAGTGGATTTCAGAGGTGTGCATCACATCACTGTGGGTTACCTGCAACGAGTTCCCTCGGTTTAGACTTCCACAAAGGATGTCTGAAACAAATCGTCATTTTAGTTCTTTCAAGCAGCATGCTCTTGTGCAAGACAGTCCCACCTACCCCCTTGCGGATTTCCTCGTCTCATCTTTGAGATGCATCAAGGTCCCTCTGCAGGAACACCACAAGCAGACAACTGTACCAGGGAATGGAAGAGCTGCAGGGGCAAGAGAGCCAGAGTCTGCTGGCTGTCCTCCCCCCACCTCCAGAGCGCCTGCTCCAGATGGACTCGCTGCAGGCCTGGGGCTTGTCCTCTGCTCCTCAGGTTCTGGAATAAACTTCCTCAGGGATGCCCAGGGCCTGCGGACCAATCACAGTATATTCCCAGGACTCTGACTGGCAACCCAGGAGACCTATTATTAATACTACCTATTAATCCTTATTAAGAAAAAGGTAGTTAATTCTGATGGCTGGTGAGTTCTTTCTCCAGAAGGCATGTCAACATGAGAAATGAATGTAGTATGCAAGGCTGGTTGGTCAAGAAAGAGGAAAAAAATTAATCTGTGGTGGGATCCTGAGGGTCAGAGACTGAGCTGTGGCATCCAGGGGCACTCGAGTAGCTTCAAGACTGGAGGAGTCAACTCCGTTAGGACCCCCAAGCCTTCATGATGTGCTGTCCTACTGCACAGTCGTGGCAATATGCTGGGCAAGTGGGCTTCGGCAGAGGGTGTTGAACACCCCCATCTTTCCACGGTGTGATCATGATACCTTGCTGCCCTGTCCATATCCATCTCTGCCCCTCTGCCATCCACTGCCAACCCTTAATAGTTTGTACCCATGGATCTCCCTGGATTCTTAGACAAGGAGCCTCTGGGGACCCACTGGGAATCCAATGAGTTAATGAGCCATTTGAGTGCCTACGATCTGATTTTGCAAGACTTGCTACAGTTTCCACACTGACTTTGGCCTGTCATAATCCAAGCTCCTACAGAATAGAAAGTTCTTTCTCCTTCCCTCCTGGAGGCCTGCACCAGAAACCATTCAGGAATCCTGATCATTGGCCACTGTTCTCCAAGGAAAAGCGTGCAGAGCCTGCCACCTTGTGGCTGCCTCTGATTCTACAGCACCCCAACCAGAAGCATAGATGCCCCTCTCCCCCGACCACCCAGTGGAGTCTCTGGGATGCAGGGAAATAGGCGTGAGGGTGGCTCGAACTCCCAGGCCCTGGTATCTCTTTCCCACAGTCTCGAACCTGTGGAGGCAGGCCCAGGGAAAGAGACCCAGCAGCTGGCTGAGATGGGAGAGAGCAGAAGGCTAGAGCGAGGGAAAGTGTTGTATTCATGGGTGAAGGAGCAGGTTGTCCGGCCTGTGAAGCACCTCAAACTGATGGTTGAGGCTAGGCAAAGCCGGCTCCCCTGTCCAACCCCAACCCACCTCACAGCCTGAGTGGCCCTATCTGTAAAGGAAGCTTCTGACCAGGTGACCTTTTAGGTCTCTTCCAGCTCTGATATGGTGCCTAGACAGGACCATCCCAAAGCAAAGGAGAGAATCCCAGCCTGTCACAGGCATCCTGGGACAGCATTGGCCTCTTCACCTCCCAAGGGGCAGTGTTGGGTTCTGCTGTTTGCAAGCAGGAATCCAAGGCAAGGCGCACCCATCAGGCAGCCTGAATGAATCAGATGCCTGCGCCATTGGGTCTGATTCATCACTCAAGGGCAGGGCCTGGTCAGTTGGGGTGGCCAGGGGTGAGCTATGCATCTCCAGCCGAGTCCGGTTGGTAAAGTGTCATGGCTGAGAGCACAGATCCTGACCCCTCACAGAATCATGGATCGGATTCAGATTCTGCCCTTAGCCAGCTGGTAATGTTTAGAATTTCTTTAACCTCCCTAAGCCTCCATTCTCTCACTTGTGTAATGGGGAAAATGAGGCTCTTGGCAGGAGAAAATGGCATGATGTGTGCAGAGCACTTTCCAAGACTTGGTGAGTAGACAGTGCCTATAAAGGCCATCTGTTCTGTGAGTGTGCGCTGTTCTTCCAAGTTCAGGGAAGAATGACCCCAAAGGCAATTGAGACATCATCCCGGCTGCCTCCATTTCAAAAGTGGGGGCCATTGCCTTGCTTTCAACAGAGCAGATAGCCTCTACCCAAAGTTGTTGGGCAGCGCCTCCCTGCAGAACCATGAAGGCATGACCCCAGCCCTGCAGAGCCCAGCAGGGCCTTTGCTCAGTGAGTCTAGAAGACGGAACCATCATGCCGGTGAGTTCAGAGGGCAGAACACTGGACCAGAGAGGATAATTTTCAAGCCTTAAGAGCTCATGGAGTTTGCATTGTTAGGTTTCGCATCTGCTTGGGACCTCACAGCTCTTCCTTCTGTCTTCTTGCTCCCTTGTGGAATGGGGATGTCTAACTTATGCCTGTCCAACACTGTGTTTTGGAAGCACATCACATGTCTGTTTTCCCAAGCTTGCAGCTGGTGAGTTCCACCTCAGGATGATTTGACTTCCAGTCTCACCCATATCAGATTTAGATGGGACTTTGGACTTTAGAGTTGATGCTGGGACAAGTTAAGACTTTGGGGGCTGGTGAGATGGAAGGAATGTATTTTGCACATGAGAAGGACATGAATTTGCCAAGAGTTGGGGGAGAGGGCAGGTTAGGATGTGATGGACTTAATGTGTCCTCTAAAAATTGATTTGTTGAAACCTAATCCCACATATAATGATATTTGGAGGTAGGTCTTTAAGTCACAAGGATGGGGCCCTCATGAAGGAGATTAGCACCTTCATAAGAGGCAGAGAGCTAGCTCACTCTCTTTCCAGCCTGTGAGAACACAGGAAGAGTTTGGCGATCTGCTGGAAGAGGACCGGCATGAGAACATGATCATGCAGTACCCTGACCTCAGACTCCCAGCCTCTGGCACTTTGAGAAGCGAATTCCAGTTGTGTGAGACACAGGTCTAGGATGTTCTGTGACAGCAGCCTGAGCTGACTATGACACTGCCCATGACACGGGATTCCTGGCTCCTCTCGTAGTCAGCTCAGGCGGCCATAACAAAATACCATAGACAAGCTGTCTTAAACAATAGGAATGTATTTATTTCTCAGAGTTCTAGAAGCGGGAATTCCCAGATCAAGGTCCAACAAAATCAATTGTTGACAAGGACCCTCTTCCTGGCTTACAGACAGCACATTCTCGCTATGTCCTCACATGGTAATGAACTCTGATCTCACTTCCTCTTCTTGTAAGAGCACCAGTCCCCTCAAAGGCACCCACCCCCATGACCTCATCAAGCCCAATTACCTCCCAAAGTCTTCCCCTCCAAATATATCACACCGGGGTTTAAGGCTGCAACAGATGAATTTGGGGAGACACACGCACTCAACCCGTACATCTCCTAAAATAAACCTAAATTTCTTGTCTGTAAACCTCCTCCCATTCCTTTTCCTTTTGTCATTTTTTCTTTTGCAGTGATGTGAACACCAGGAAAATCTTGCCCTCGCCTCACCCCATCCCACAGAGCTGGGGGCACAACAGCACCAGTGCCTCCCTGGAAAGCAGGTCTGTCTTCTCCTCCTCTGATGCTTGTGACAGTCCCTGCTATGCGTGGAATGAGTCAAAATTGCCAGTTCTCTTCTCCCACATCCCGAGGAGCCCCTTGTCTGGTAGCCACACAGACAGAGCTCAGGGCTGGCCTACCCCGGTACCCTAGGAATACTATGGAGTCTCTCACAGATGCTGAGTGCCAAAGCTGGGGTGTTTTCTCCCAGGGGTCTTTGCGACTCTGTGCAGGCAGACTTGCTTCAAGTCTCCTTGTAAAGAGATGTACCCAGGGCCATTAAAGGAAGGAATTGCTGGCTCCCAGGTCTTTCCAGTCCCACCACAGGGTCCCTAGGCAGGGAAGTACAGAGAGTTGACAAGACTAGCCTCAGGCCCTGTGCACTGTTCACTGCAGACTGAACAAAGCTGACAAGACCTCTCCCCAGCAGTGCTCTTTGTGCCCTCTAACTAGAAGGCTTGAGCACCCTTCTTCACCTACGCACCCCCCAAACTGTCCGAGGGTGAGGTCCAGCCATACTCCTCCTGGAGTCCAGACAGAAGCAATACCTCCGTGGGCCCTGTGGGACCACTTCTGGATTGCAGCTGGATGCCAACATAATTACTTGTAATCGTGAACAGCCCTTTATTATGTCCTGTCCTCACTGCCTTCTAAGAGAGTGGATACTGTCACTTGCTGTGTGGAGTGACAGGATGTGGGTTATGCTTGGCAAGCCAGGAGGGAACTGCTTTGAATTTTCTGTAGGGGCAATTTGTTGGATGGAAAAATAAGAGGGAGAAAAGCACAAACATTCTTCCTTTTTTAAGGGGATTTCTTGGAAATTCCACACTTCTTATAAATCTCATTGGTTGGAACCTGGTCACCTGACCACACATAGCTGCAAAGGAGGCTGGGAAATATAGTTTTTTTTTTCAGCCATGGTAACATACTCAGCTAAATACGTTTTTACGAAGAGAGGAGAGAATAGTTATCTGTCCCAGGAGCAACTAACGAAGCCATGGTAGAGTAAGGGTACACATAGGGGAGACGTCCTAAAAGATGTGCTATCTAAGTTGGGTGCTGAAGGAGACAGTCAAGTCCCAGGTGGAACAGACTTGGTGGAGGCAGGGGTTGGGAGGGATGGGGAAGGTGCTCAGACAAAGCACATTCAGCCATGCAAAGGTCTTGAAGTAGAGCAGTCCAGGGAAAGGAAACAGCTAAAGCAAAGGTCCTGAGGCCAGAAGGAACTCATGTTACTAAGTAACAGAATAACAGAAAGAAGGGCAGGGTGGCCAGAATATAGTATGCAAGGGACCAAATCACACAAGAAGAGAGTTTGAGTTTCATTCCAAGAGTGATGTGAGAAGCCACTAATGGGTTTAAGGGTTAGGGTTAGGGGAGCACATGACACGTTTGCACATGAAGGGATTGCTGCGGCTTCTGCCCAGATACAGTGGAGGGATGAGGAGGCAGATTGCCATCCCATGACCTCCTGGGTGAGATCGGGTCACTGATCTATGCAAAGCACTTTGGAAAGGTAAGCATGGGGTCCAAATGTAAGTCGCAGTGATGTGTGACTTGTGGTTGTCCTCAGCATCTCTGAGAGGCCAGCGTCATCCATCCCTCTCACCGGGGACAGCCAGACGGACTCCGACATCCTGGCATTCATCAAGGCCAGACAGAGCATTCTCCAGAAGAAATGTAAGTGCACCTTCCTCCACAGATCTGCTCACCAGCCCTTGGGAACGGAGGGGGAAGGCCAGAGCAAGAAGTGGGCTGAGAAGGAAGTAGGAATCTTCCTGCCTATTCCTGAAACCACAGGACTGACCCTGTGGTCACCTCACATGTGCCTGGCCTCTGCTTCCTCCAGGAAAAAGCTCCAGGAGGCGACATCACAAACACCAGGACAGGCCCAAGGGGGTGGCGGGCCCAGGCGCTCCCATTCTTCCTGGCAAAGCTTCCCGCCCTCTTCCAGATCTTCAGCTCCTTGTGTTCTCTGTTCCCAAAGCCATTCACCTCTGTTTAGCCTTCTCCATACAAGAGGCTGAGTGATGGTTTGATAAGTTGAATCCCCACCTAGAAATATCACTCTCCTATCGGAGCCTGGTTCTTACCAGTGAGTTGTAGACGTAATCACCATCTGAAGGCTCAGGCCTGAGGACACCTTTAACAGTTAAGGAAGAAATACCGGTGGCGGGGGGGTGGGAGGTTGGGGGAACCAGGTGGTGGGTATTGGAGAGGGCACGGATTGCATGGAACACTGGGTGTGGTGCAAAAACAATGAATACTGTTATGCTGAAAATAAATTTAAAAAAAGAAAAAAAGAAAAAAAAGAAAAGAAATACCGGTGGCGTGTCAGACAACAGGAATAGAAAGAAAAGGTCCTTCCTGGCCTTTGTCACCTCCTCCCCCACCCCTCCATCTTCCTCTTGGCAGCTGCCCCCCAACTGTGGATAGGCCTTCTCTTCTCCTGCCTCCCCTCTCCCTAGAGACTCTCAGGGATAAGACCCAAGACCCCTTACCCGAGCCCCACTTTTAACCTCGTCCCAGTAGTAAGCCAAAAGCTACCAGATGGGCCAAGCATTGCTTTCCTATGTCAACACTCTGATGGATGAAATGGCAGACTTGGATCATATCAGGACTGACACCTGCCCCGAGAGGCCCACAGTCAGTTTCACGGCCAACTCTCTGCAGTTTAGACCCTAGGAGGTCTGCACATGGACAGAGCATCCCAAACAAAGGATGGCCATGCCACGTCATCCTTCCAGCAGCAAGCAGGCACCCTCACTGAAATGCCAGCCTGCCCACTGTTCTCTCTCTAACACTGGGATCAGCTCTTCTGTGGCGGGGTCCCTCTGAGACCTGAGATAGGCTGTGTCTGCCACCAACCCCCTTACACCATAGCTTGCCTTCTCTCTTCCATTTCCTTGTTGAAAAAAGAAAGGACACCAACAATACGTAAGATCATTTGAGGTGCTGAGCGAGAGGGCAGGAGACAGCTCACAGGCTTGTGGGCAAGGGTAAGGGGCTTGGCTTCTATTCCAGGTGTCCTGAGAGCTCCCAGAAGAATTTAAGCTGTGGTGTGGTATGGTCTGACTGGGGCTTTGGCAAGCTCACTCCAGCCACTGTGTACAGCAGAGACCGTAGAGGCCCAGGAATAGCAGTTTCCAGATTCTGGGGAGGTCCAGGCAAGGGGTGAGGGCAGCTTGACCCCAGCAGCAGGTCGGCCGTGAGTGTGAAGGAGAGGAGAGCCAGGAGGGCCGGTGGGCACCTGCTCTGAGCAGCTAACAGGACAGGAATGTCAACTGGCAGAAAGGCGGGCAAGGGTGGACGCCAGAGGGAAGTTGCTGGGGGCATTCAGAGTTCCAGTAGGCCCATTCGAAGTTTCAGAAGCCCTGTGAGACCCCACAGGAGGTAAGTAGGCCTCTGAACACGAGTCTGGGTGGAGTGTAGCGCCACATCCTGAATGAAATCCCTGTAGAAGAGAGAAATAGGGTTATTCTAATGTCTAGCTCAGACCACTGGGCAATCTGAGGTTTGGAGGTGAGTGGGAAGATCCAGCCATAGCTACAGAGAACATTCGGCCAGGGTGGGAGAAGGGCCAGCGGTGGAGTGAGCGTGGCCTCAGGCAGGCCTGCAGGAGAACGTGGTCCAGGGGAGAAGGGCCAGTAGAGCCCAGGGTTGCTGGAGGTTGAGGGACGCTGGTGGCCAAGGACACCTGCCCTGTAGGCAGGGGACCAGGAGGAGGAAAGGCCCATGGTTGTGGTTGAGAAAAGAAAGGAGCAGGAGTGGAGATGGGGAATGGGGCAAGCTGTCCCTGGGGCTGAGCTGGGAGGAGGAGCAGCCCGGAGCTGGGGCCAAGGAGAAGCAGGTTGTGCAGCCGTGTTCTCGTGCTGAGAGGAATGGGCCAGCAGGAGAAAGGAGGCGGGTGAAGTGGGAACATGGACCAGACCTACAGGGGAAACTCTTCTGGGAAGTAGAGGGTGTGGCAGCCAGGACTTAAGTGGAGCTGCGGTTGGCATTTGGAGCTGGGACGCTCCCCTCGCCTGGAGCAAATGCGTAGACATCAACCATCATTCATCCCCTCGGGAAGCCAACACGTAGCAATATTGTTAAGTTATGTTTACTGAGCTTTTGCCTGGATAATAAAGACGCCCTTTCCAGCCCTCTCCGAGAAGGAAAGGCATTAACCCAAGGCCTATGTGAGGATGCCATCCTGCTACGTACACAGTGCCCAGATGGTACAGAAAGCTGGGCTGAAAGGCGGAGCCCTCTTCATGTATCGAGCCAAGAGTCCAAACCCTCTTTTGGCAGATGGGGAAACTGAGGCACACAGCGGTTGCATGGCAGAGCCAGGACAACCCCGCTTTTTAAGCACTCTCTACCGGGCTGCACTGTCTTGAAAAGCCGCTCTGCGGCCGGCCTGGTGTCGGTCTCTCGGCCCCCACCCTCCCCGCACTGGGGAGCTTTGTTCTCCAAACAAATAACGGCCTGGAAGTAATTCATCAAAACAGAAGTTCAAGGGTTCAATTTTTATTCTTAAGGGAAAAAAAAAGTTTAGCGACCATGAGGCTGCAAAGGAAGTTGAAGAAGGGTGACGGGGGATTCCCGTTCCTCCAGGTCAGGGCCAAAGGGCCATCAGGAGCGGTCCAGCAGGTGCGGCCTCACCACCCAGCAGCAGATGGCCAGGACCCAGCAGGCAGCACTCTCCACGCAGCCCCCTTATCAGGCCTCCCCGTCAGGCAAACATGCAGGCCGGCCGCAGGCACCTTCCCCAGCCAAAGCAAACACTTCCCTCTCCCCTGCCCTGGGCTCCCTCTGCTCTTAATTTAGCGGCACTGTCTGTCTGGGCTTCTTCAGCAGTGCTCATTATGGGGAATTTGTGACTATCAGCCTGGGAGCAGGAGCCCAGAAAAGGTGATTTAACGTATGCCTCGCCCGCCGGCTCTCGCACTCCACCAAGGGCCAGGATGAATCTAGTTGATTTAGGATTCATGGAAAAGCTGTGAAACGTTTAAATCCCTGCCAGGGGCACATGTGGACAGGTATATATCCCCCCTATGGGGCGTTTGTCATCCATGGTGTCAAATCTGCTGTTTCTAACTGCCGAGCATGGCTTTAAAATCTGAGAAAATGAGATGAACCCCTTTCTAGAGTGCTTTAAAAAAAAAAAAAATCTTCCTTAATCCCTGCAAAGTTTGGAACTTTTTGCATATGGACAGGAACCTTGGTGTGACCCCCATGACCACTGTGCCCTTTTCTCTGGCTGGTGCCAGGAAGAGGCTCTGCCAAAGGCCTCAGAGCCTCCTGCCCCCTTTCCCGACTCCTCCATCCCCAGCCAGAGAAACCCTCCAGCTCTGCTCTGTGCTGGATCCGTCCCAGTGAAATGGAGAGAACCTAGAACTGGGTGAGGGAGGAGGCCCAAAGGCAGGGCTCCTTGAAGCCCTCAGCCCTGTGTGACCTTGGGCACGTCACCTCCCCCGGCCCCCTGGCACATCTATCGAGTTCAGATTCTGCCTCCATCTGGGTGGCCAGCCCCTCCTGAGATAACATCCATAAAAGTCCCCTCTAAGCAGCCAAGCACCAGGGAGCTGTTAGTGGGGAAAATGGCCTTGGTGGTGAGAACTGGCCCCACACGGTAAGGGGTGATTTCCTGTCCGTGGTTTCTCTGCGGCAATACCCTCCAGTCTGGGATCCTACAGTCAAGAAACCCCAGCACAGACTGACAGCTCTATCACTTCCCAGGGCTCATCAAATCAAGAAAGGGCACCTTTTATCTGGAGTTCTGTGTCTGAGGGGCCCTCCGAGCCCTGCTCTGTGGCGCTCCACCCCAGCCCCGTCCCTGCCCCAGTCACCACAGCAGGCCAGTGTCTGGGGTGGGAGCTGGCTCAGACCCTAGGCCCCTTTCCATTGGCAGTGCTGATGCATCCTGGCCCAGGCTGCCGAGGAAAGGCCAGACCCACGTGCCTGCTGAGCCCCAGTACCTGCCCTCACCTCCTTGGACTAGAGAGCCAAAGACAGTGGGCTTCAGCCCTGGCTCCTCATGGGTACTACCTGTCCCCTCTACCCCTGCCCCATGCCCTGGGCATGGGTTTCCAATGTACAGCAGAGCTGGGAACCATGGGTCCAGAGTGCCTGGAACATATCCCTTCAGATGCCCTGGGGTGCCTGGTCTTCCTTCCTGCCCTAAGATTCAGTCAGAACAGCTAGGAATGTCTGAAAGCTAAGGACCAGCTCTATTTCATTAAACAGCCTGGGGTCTTGCACTCAGAATTAGATCTGAAAGACCAAGAGTTCATTGCCTTGACTTGTTTTCAACCTCTTCTTCCCCATCACCTGCCACATTCAGTGTGTCACTGAGAATGACCTGGTCGTCCTCTGCAATGTCAGACAGACCGTGCCCGCCCTATACTCCCTGCCCCCGGCCTCTCCCAGGCCAGGTCCCTGTGGGCACACTCAGATGGCCACAGCCTTCAAGCTCTCTGCCCCCTGCAACTGTTTGAAACACTCTCTTCCCAAGCCCTCTGGCCTATTAAGATAGCCAAACTTTAAACAAATTAACTACTTGTCTCTCACACCATTTCTTCTCACATGTTAATATGCCGGGAAATCTAGGGGTTTTGTTAAAAGGTAGGTCCTGGTCCCGGAAGTCTGGGCTGGGGGCCGAGATTCCGCACTTCTTAACAAACTTCCTGGGGATGCCAGTGCTGCTGATGGACACTTTGAGAAGCAAGGAGCCATGCTAGCTAGCTTGCTTCTTCTGGGGACCTCACCTGCTCTGTCAATCTGGATACTCAGAAGGAGGCCCAGAGAATGAACATGATTTGCCCAGCCACACCACGGGTCGGGGACTGTCCTGGCTACGATTCAGGGGCCCTGGCTCTTAGCCCAGAGAACCCTTCTCCGTGTCCAGCTGTGTGGTCAGAAAGAGCCACCCTGAATAAAATGAGCGTCAGGAGTCAAAAGCAAAAAGAGACTCTTTTGGAGAATCGAGCAGGGGTGTCTGTGAAAACTGTGGGCTTGGACAATGAGTACTGGTCCTGACTCAGGGAGATTAAGCTTTTGCAGAGGACAAAGGAGGTGTCATCCTGCAGAGCTGGGGGGATAAAGACAGCCCCTGGGAGTCAGGGCACTGGGAGGCACACCACCCCAGAGCCAAGGGAAGTGACCTACAGCCTCCTCCCCATGCTCCTTGCCCTTCCATCTGCAGGGAAACTGGTGCCCCGATACACAACCTAACCGAGAACATCCCATCTCCTTTTAGGTTTCCAATAGGTGTCCAGCTGCAGGAACGGAGTACGGATGAAGGAAGGCACCTTTTCTCACTCACCCTGCTTCAGATGTGATCTGCGGGCTGCTGAGAGCTTCTAGATTTTGGCTCCAATAGAAGGGGCTGTGTTTCCTTAAGGATGTTGTCCTGGAGGCCCCCAGTGAGCCTGGGGCTAGGGCTTAGGGTGCTGTCCTTGCTGTGGGTGCTGGAGATAGTGCCAAGATGCTAGGGGCGGGACAGGGGCTTCTACTCACTCTCGTAGTGATGCTTCCCATGGTCGATTATAAACCTGGGACATTATGAAATAGTACCATCAGAATGTAGTGGCAGGGGAAGCTCATGCTGGTAGAATAGGGGAGAAAGCTACTTACCAGCCAGCTGTACGAGCCCAGGAATGGCTAGGGCAAGCCAGGCAGCAGAATACAACACAGCAGAATACAAAGCATCTTGATGACCAGTCCTGATCTCCCAAACCAAACTTCTACCATCACCCTCATGGCCTGGGTGACCATAGGCAGTGCCTGAATCAGCCGTATCTGCAGAGAGCCACCCAGTAGGGTCCAAGGACATCACTGCACCCCAAGAGCAGGAGACAGCTCCCGAGAGCTCTGCAGAGAGCTTGAGAAGGGACAGTATGGGTACCTAGGACCTCACACCCTCACCCAACCACTTGGGGCTCTGTAGGATTTGGGCTGAAACCTCCCACTCATACCAGAGAAACAGAGCTACTGGGGGCTTGCCTCCATGAGCCTTTCCAGCACTCCAGAGCCTGGCTGCAGGATACAAGAGGTCCTTGGAGAACCGCCACCTGGCCTGCGTCTGGACAGCGGCAGCAAGGTCCCAAGTCAGCTGTAGTTGGGGAGGGGTCCTCGGGAGAGGAATGGCACCTGCGATGAAGCAAAGTGAATAAAAGTGTCTGTCTACCACCCCCCACTGTCTCTGTCCTGTGAATACAAGACCTGCCACCCCAGAGAGAGGGCAGAGAGAAAATACATATAAGTGGCTTATTTTCTCCCCTTGCCCAGACTGGGTAAAAGGATCATGCAGGAGAAGCTGATGATGACATTTCGGAGCCAGGCTGCCCGTAGAGCCCCTCTAATCAATACCCTCATTGATAACATTAGAAACCTGAAACAGAGTGGAGGGGCTGGCTTCTAAGGGCTAGTTAGTGGCAAGTGTCCCCTCTTTGGGGGGCTTTCCCTGACCCCCTGACAGGAGCCACCACCGTTTCTCTGTTTCATTTTGCCCATCACTATGTGACATATCATCTTTCTCTATTTGCTTATTTCTTTATGGCCTGCCACTGCCCCCATCCCCCCAAGACTAAATGCTCCATGACAACAGGGACCTGTGTGTCTTGCTCACTGCCGTGTGCCCAGGACAAGCTGGAACCAAATAAATAATCCTTCAATTAATGAGCAGCAGAGTCAGAGCCCAAACCTCCTATTTCTCAGGCTCACATCTGTCCCATGCCTTTACTCTGGCTCTGCGACCAAGGCCCATTGAGGCAGAGTCCAGTCTCCCTGGTCAACTTCCAGCCCTCATGGTACTGTGGCACATAGTAAGTCCTCCGTAAAGTCTATAGAACCCGGGAAGATCACATAGAGCCCTTGCAGCCTGATCCTCAAATCCTCCCTGAGGCCACAGGGCAGACACGTAGCAAACACACACACTCTCAAGAGCGCAGAGGGCAGCATGGTGTTGGCCAGAGCCCCGCAGAGACAGCCTCAGTGTACCTAGCACACCTGAGGGCCTGCCACCCTCTAGAGCTGGTTAGAGTCTATTGACTTTAGATCTCCTGCTGAGAACTTATCTCCGGGATCCAAAGGCCTTATTGACAGAGATGTGTGGTATGGCCCCACGCAGGGTGTGAACCCACAAAGACAAGGGAGGAAATGAAGAAGAGAGAAAAACAGACAGCTGGGTCATGGCGTCCTGCGGGGAGTCATATACAAAGCATATGCAGCCCCTAGAGAGGGACCTTCTCTCCAAATTTCCCCTCCCAATGGAAGCTGGCCCTTGGACATGGACACAGGCGTGACCACAGTGCATCTTCTCCAAAATTCACTGGCCTCTGAAAGGGGAGAAATGGATGCAAGGCTCTGGAAAGACTGTCCAGCAAGCCTGAGTTCACCCCAGGCCAAACTGTGGAGCTTTCCAAACCATCTTCTGGAAAGCAGCCTGGCCAGTGACTCTAGCCCTGTCCCTACTAGAATTCAATTTGCTCTGCTGTTCACTTAATAGGGGATGTGAGGAGGAATGCGGCTGTGATGCTAGGAGGAGGGCTTGCCCAGATCTTACTAAAAGGGATTTTTAGGAAGTAGATAGAGAAACTGTGGTAGATTGAATAGCCAGTCTCCAGATTTTCCCCCTATAATAAAATTACACGTTCAAAGCTTTGCCATGGCCTCATGGCAGTGGGGTCTACTTTCCTACCCCTTAAATCTGGGCTTGGTCCTGTGACTTGCCTTCGTCCATGGGATGTTAGCAGACATGCATGATTCAAGTCTTGCGTGCTCAGGCTTGCCTCTCTGCACTCCAGGGATCTGCCTTGAGAAGAACATGCCCAGAATAGGTGCTGCCCCTTCAGCTTCCATCCCAGAACATCTGGAGAGCAGATCCGAGCCCAGCCTACATACTGGAGCCAAGCCCAGCTGACCCATAGCTTAGAGCAGGGCTTCCTGGTCAAGCCTAGCCCAGATCAGCTGAACCCCAGCTGACCCAAACACCCCACTATCAGGAGAATAAACACTTGTTGACATAAGGCACTGAGACTTAGGGCGATATGTTATGGAGCATCAACTGTAGCAATGGCTAACGGACACAGATATTTGAAAACCAGAATCAATATATGGCTAGACGCAGGATTTCTCAGAGTTCAGTGTTTCTTTCCATGCTGCCTACTGAGAGTAAGGACTTGAGAGTTGCACTTGAGAGTAAGCTGTGTATAAAAAAGCAGGACACCACTATCATGGCCATGATAGAGCAACAGGGACCTGACTTACCCTCCTGCTTGAAATAACTGAAGACTAGACAAAATGTATAAAACAATGGAAAAAGGCAGTTACAGGACACGGACCCCAAGGGAAGGGAAACAAGTGAGATAGGTGAGCCCAAGATGGTGGAACTTAACAGCCCACAGGGCTTGGGCCTCAATCCAGGAAAAGGCCACCAGGGGGCGCCTAGTGGTTTCCTGAGTCGAGGAAATGGTACCAGGGGTCCAGGGAGGCCAAGGTGACTTCCATTGGCAAGGTGAGGGGCAAGGGATGAGCGAGCTGCAGAGAGAGAGAGAGTGGACTGACTCCGAAGATCTTCAGAGCTTACTCTCAGGTCTTCAGCTCACAGCTGGGCCATGCATGTGGGGGAGGAAATCACTCAGTGCTGGGGAAAGAACCACTGGAAAGGAGCAAGTGGAACAATTTCCAGAAATAACACAATCTTGGGAATAGTTCGTGCTCCCAACAGCCGCCGTGGAGAAACCTTCTCACAAAAGAGTCATTGAACAGAAATCCCATAAAGGTGCTGCCATGCACGTGGGACCAAATTCGCCGTAGATCAAATCTCTTCCAGTCCTGCCTAATAAAATCTAAAAAGCAAGCCTCAAGAGAGGCAAACTGTTTTCAGTGAGTTTCCAAACAACACTCAAAAATATTTAAAGGAGGGACTCCTGCATGGCACAGTCAATTAAATGTCTGACTCTTGGTTTTGGCTCAAGTCACGATCTCAGAGTTGTGAGATCAAAGCCCCCACATCAGGCTTCACGCTCAGTGAGGTGTCTGCTAAATTTTTTCTTGCCCTCTCGCTCTGCTCCTCCCCGTGGTCACTCCCTCTCTCAAATAAATAAATCTTTTTTAAAAAATAAATGAACAACAACAAAAAAAATCTAACCCCTAGCAATGTAGAAGTGACACCCAGTAAAAAAATTACCAAGCATTCATAGAGGCAGGAAAGTACAGCCCATAGAAAAACCAATTGGAAGAATTAGAAACAGCCCCATGAGTGACACAGATGATTGAATTAATAGACAGGGACTTTTTTTTTTTTAATGCAATGGGTATATGTTTAAACTATAGGGAGAAAGATGCACCTTGCAATTCCTTAAATGTAAACATGACTCAATCATCAGGTCATTCTTTTAACAAGGATGTGTCAGCCACTGTGCTAAATTCCAATGACTCAGAGGCGACCAGGACAGAGAAAGTGCCAACCATCTTCGAAATTATGTTCTAATTAGGGAGACGGACAACAAATAAGCAAGGGAATCTAAGCTAAGAAGGAGTTGGGATGGGATATAATGGGCCTGGGCTCAATGTCAAGGTGGGTCAGAGTATGAGAGCCAGGGTGGGGTACCAAGAGGAAGGTGGGAGAGTCAGGCTCAGGACTAGAATGGTAGGTAAGGAGTTTGATGACGTGAAGAGGCCCGGGGCTGAGCTGTTGATTTGGAATGTGGAGCATGGCAAAGGGGGCCCTTTGGGGATCTAAGCCATCGAAGAATATGGAGGGAGACTATTTCATGATGTGTGTCCAGGGGTCTACCAGAGCAACCAGGAAGAGGAGGTGTGGAAAGCTTGGCTGTGAATGTTGGAAGTTGAAAATGTCCATATAAAATATGGGAGGAAAAACAGCATTTCTATCTCAAATGTGGCAAGTGGCCCCTGACCATGGCCCCGGATGCTTCTGTCAGGGCAAGGGAGGAGGTAGCAAACTTTTTTAGGGTTAACTGCTCTGTTGGGTTTCGATGGCCAAGTGCTGGCGAGCAGGCCCAAGCCCGTTTTATGCACACTGAGGGGGAATTCAGAGCAACCAGCAAGCGGAACGCAGGTGAGGGATCCCTCCCTCTCACTTCACTCAATTCCTTGCCTCCAGAAAGCAGCCCTTCCCTAGAGCAGCCCTATACTGCCTGCACTCCATCCCCCGTATGGGATACTAGTGTCATGTCTCCTTGGAAGTATCTTTTGGGTTTGCCTTTTCCATGACTTTCCTTAGAACCAGGCAAGGAGGTGCCCTTGGCCATGCCTCAGAGTAGCCGACACTTCGAAGTACCTTGCCAGAAAGTTTCTAAATCTTCCAGTGCTGGGACCTGCCATGACCAACAGTGTCATCAACAAGGCCCATGTGGGCCTTGTTCCCTTCTCCTCAGGTTTTTTTTTTTTTTTAAGATTGATTGATTGATTTGGCAGAGCACAAGCAGGGGGAGCGGCAGTCAGAGGGCGAGGGAGAAGCAAGCTCCCCTCAGAGCAGGGAGCCCAGTGGAGGGCTTGATTCCGGGACCCTGGGAACATGACCTGAGCTGAAGGCAGATGCTTAACCGACTGAGCCACCCAGGTGTCCCTTTTCAGATCATTCTTGCATGGGGTGGTTGACCAGATGCCCCAAGCTACTCTAGAATTCATGCCTATGGAGGTGTGCTGGGGTCCCTTAATCAATCCTTCGTTCCAAGAGAACAGCCTGATGAGCAGATCATTCCACTGACCGGTGCAGCATTCCGCTCATGACACTGCTCAAGACTGGGCCACCAGAGTGGTGCTGACCCACTCACTTAAATGACTCTCAGGTAGGACAAAGAATCTCCACATGCCCTGAATGGAAAAACCCAGAGCTGTAAGAACAGCTCCA